GAAAAAACCGCCACAGGAGAGACCCCCTTTAACCTCACCTACGGCACCGAGGCGGTAATCCCGGCGGAAATCGAAGTACCTACGTTGCGACTAGAAGCATACGACGAACAGACAAACGAAGGCGAATTACGCACCAACCTCGACCTACTGGACGAAGTGAGAGACCTCGCGCACATCCGAGCTGCGGCCTACCAGCAAAAGGTAGCTCGATATTATAACGCGCGAGTAAAGAAGAGGAACTTCCGCGTCGGTGACCTGGTTCTCCGTAAGGTCACGGTGCCCGAACCCGGCGTAGGGAAACTTGGACCAAATTGGGAAGGACCCTATAGAGTAAAGAAAGCACTCGGGGGGGGCATACGAGCTCGAAACCCTAGAGGGAAAACAAGTACCCCAAGCATGGAACATTGTCAACCTAAGGCGATACTACCTATAGAACGCCAAGCGAAATGGGTAAAATCACCACCAAAGCCTACGGGCTAGGATGCCGAGCTAACGAAGGAATCTCGGCACAAGCAAACAGACTGGACGTATAGTCAGTTCGACAAATACATTCAGTTCGGCAAATATGCTCAATTCGGGAGAGAACAAGCACTTAAATCATTCTATTCCAAAAGTAGGGTAATACAAAAAAAAAAATTTACGAGCCAGGAGCTATTTCATCATCGTCTGAAGGCACTTCGACAAAACCCGAAGGCCCCGCCTCACCCTCGGAGTCTGGCTCGGTGTCAGCAGCATTATCCATCTCCTGAATTATGCGTGAAGTGGATATGGTGCTAACATCGAGCGCGGGGTATGTATTCCGGATCATCCACCGGCTTAGCTTAAAACCCCTCCTATATGAATCCACCATCAGATCGTCAAAACCCAGCGAAGCGAGGTACTCTTCGACGGCCTTCTTCTTGGCATCTTCGATACTTTGGGAGAAGATTTGCGTCCTCTCCCTGATGTCCTCCTGAAGATACTCGACCTGATGCTGCAAATCCAGCCTCAAGTCCGCCATGTGCTTCACCACCACTCCCATGGCCTCGGCATCTCTCTGAGACCTCGCCTGCCTAATCCAGGAAAAACGAGCAGTCTCTTCGGTAGCACGTGCAGTCTCTTCAGTAGCACGAGCAGTCGCTTCAGCAGCACGAGCAGCTTCCTCGTCCGCACGACGAGCCGCTTCAACAGCCCACGCCTGCCTCGAGCTCCTCTCCACCTGAGCTGCCAAGGCGTGAATGGAAGAATTTACCTGCCAAAAGAGAGACTGAATGATCAAAAGAACCAACCAAACAAAAGCCAAAGAGCTAAAAAAGGAGAACACTTACCACCATAGCGTGGGTAACGGCACGGCAGGCCACTTGATGCAGAGGGAGATCAGTCCA